GCCTCCCTGCATCTCTGGGCAGTTTCCTAAGCGACCTCTCCCCGCTCTGGCCTTGTGCCACTCCTCCCTCAGCCTGGAGCACTTCTGCCTCCATCCCTGTCACTCTCCCCCTCGCTCAACCACCACCGTCCCACGGGGCTTCCTTCCCATTCCTGTTCTTCCTTCTGCTCTCACCGTCTCCTCCCGGGAAATGTCCTTTCCTGCCTGGTGTGGGTGTCCCTCTCTGCTGGTGGCACCGTGTGCTCTACCATCACTCCTCACCCTCCACTCCTCATCCCCCATTCACTTGGGCTCTACTGGGCGTGGTGAACAGGGCGCTGGCTGCTCAGGACGGAGAGTGGCCCCCTCTTTTGCATACGGGATTCACATGTATTTATTTAATAACACGTTGCTGCAATGAGTCACTGCCATTGTCTTGCTAGACTGCTGTCATGTGAAGTTGCTCTTAAATTTAGTCAATACACACGTGAGATAGAGAGAGAAGGGTCATCAGGCTGACGTGCAGGCGAGCCCTGAAACGAGGATCTGAAGAAGGATCCGCCTGAGCTCCAAATGGCAATAAACAAGTAAACACGCCCAGAGTGAGCGTGCAGATGCTTCCACCGGTTATGGCCACAATAGGAGGGGCACCTACTCTGGAAAAATAAGGGGAGCAAGACGGAGACGGAGAAACCAGAGGGAAAAAAGGAGCTGGCGCTGCACAGGTTAGGGAAGGTCTTTGGGCACAGGAGCAGCAAGTACCAAGGATCTGAGGCAAAAGGAAGAGCTTGTTAGGACTAGGAATAGACAAGCCGGTGTGATGTTGGAAAAAAATCGTGTTCTGTGTATTTTACCACAATAAGAACATGAGAGATTTTTAGTTAAAGTCCGTGTGTCAGCCAGTTAGAAAAAGGATGTTTACTTATATTTCCGGTAGTGGATTCCTGTTCCTAAACGCAATTAGTCAAATCGTTTCCCAGACACCCGTGCAGGTATTTGCAGTAGAAGGCAAGCCTCGCTATCCTGCCCTGGACGAGCTCCTAAGTAGCGATGTTCCTTACGGCGGTGCGGATCGCCGGCACAGAAGCAGGGGGTGAGGAAGGCCAGCAAGTGCTCAATCTAGCGTCCGTGCTCAGGACACCGCTGTGTCCCATGTTCTCTCCTTGTCCCTGGAAACACGCCTTCCTTACAGGAGCTTTTTTTGGTATTAAGCTCGTTACTTTCAAAGTCTTCTTTTTTTCTTTTAAAAAGTTTCTGAAAATGACTCAAAACCATCGTAGTGTGATACAAAGAGAAAGGATCAAACCGCTCCCGTGCAGACCCTGGCTCCACCTCCTGGATTTCTTATTATGAGCAGCTCCTAGCATGTTGTGTTGCTCCGTATGCAGAGCCACAGGAGCAGGTCGCGTGTATGTGTCTCCATCCTCTGCAAGGGGACTCGCTTCATTTCCGCTTTGGCTGAAACAGCAGATATTTTTAACTTTTTTGTAAAAACGCCGCTTTAAATCCACTCCCATGTCCTGGCCAATCTGCCGTCTCCTGGTGGGAGGGTTTGCAGGCATTTGCTGCTGCTGAGGGACCAGAGAAAGGCCCGGTGAGACAGGTTGGGGTCTGACGCTTTTCCGCTGTGACCAGCGACTCCGGTCTCGGTGGTTGTGCTCTCCCTGCTGGGCTGAGAGCAGAGCACGGTCTGGGGCCACGTGTAAAGGAGAGTCCTCAGTCCCCCCTTTTCCAAGCTTCTCTTCCCACTGTTCACGAGATGGTCCTGGTTTCATTTAACAAGGAGTAAACATTTCCACTCCAACATGGTTCACATAGATGGGCCTCATTCTTCTTAATTACATGTGCCTTGCTGAGAAAGGCATTTCTCTAAATTTACAAAAATGTTGCCATGTTTTCTTATAGTTCTCTTTATGATTATATTAGTACATCTATTCATATGAAATTAGTTTTGATATAAGAGTTATCTATTTTCCAAAATTAGATATTTTCTAATTTTTTATAGTGGCTCCTTCTTTTTATTATCCTAATGATCATATACATATATTTTTTAATTTTAATTTTTTTAATCCTCACCTGAGGATATTTTTCCATTGATTTTTTGAGAAAGTGGAAGCGAGAGGGAAAGACAGAGAGAAATAATGTGAGAG